AGAAAAACGCGTTTAAAGATTCAGATATTAATATTTACAATTAATATGTATTATAATTAATATTTTTTAATAATTTGCATATGTGTATTTTACATATATATATATATATATATATATTGTTGGAAGTACAGGATGGATGTACAAAGTTTAAAATCAATTCTCTCTGGCGCGTTTTTTTCACAAAAAAATTCATAAAAACAATTTTATTTTCGTAGATACCTAACAAGGTTCGAGAAAAATCGAATATTTTTATATCTTTTCACTTTTCAAGCTGCTTTACCCCTCCCCCCTTAAGAAAATAAATCGTAGGTAAATTTTTAAATGTGCATTCGGAAACAAATTTATGAATTTAGGATTATTCTTCATCAACACAGTAAACAATAAAAGTCCTGCGTCCAGCGATTAGAATAGTCAGCGTTTCTTCATCGTTATTCTTGGTGACTATACCGGATATCTCATCGCGAATTCTAGTTCTGTATTTAAAATATACGATTAAAAGATACGTTCACATTCCTCTGATATTATATTGAATATTTGTATAAAAATTTCAGATCTTTGATAACGCTGACATTATTTTAACAAGTAACACGAGAACACAATTTTTACGACTACGAACCGTAAAGGCTTCTACACTAATTACACGGACAAAAAAGATTTTATTCAAATTAGCTAACACTGTGATATTAAGTAGATTATGAGATGCTGATCAAAAGTATCCTTATAGACAAAATCATAAAAAATGAAGATTGCTGTAGCGCCATTTAAAACTTGCTATTCTCGATGTACCTACTAATCGAACTGAAAAGTACCTTCATCTACTAAACTATACCTTTTACCTTAATACTTTTATACACAGAATAATGAGATGAATCGATTGATGTAAGGAAAACACGTAGCTGTTTTTTAAAAAGAATATGTAGTTTGCAAATCGCACAATTTTTTTGAAAAACAGTTGTGTTTCCTTTATATCACTCGATTCATCTCATTATTCCTTTCGTGTATAAAAGTATTAAGGTACAGTTGCTAAAAAATGAATGGTTTAATACATAAAGATACTCGTACTTTTCAGTCCGATTAGGTTCAAAATAACAACTATGAAATAGCATTAAAGCAAAATCTGTTCATTTTTTATAATTTGGTATAAGAAAAGTGTTCATCAGCATCTCATAATCTACAAAATGTCACAGTTTCAGCCAATTCAACTGAAACAATTGTTTTCATGTATGATTAGTGTGGAGTCACTTATTAGTTTTTATTTGTTGGTAAAAAAAACAATCGGAGGATGCAGAAGAGTGTATAACCGGGTTTAATCGCTGGAGATTAAATAATATATAATAGCCGATGTCGCGCAGCGATAGTGAACAGATACTTGCGAAATACTCTACGAAGATACTCGCTTGTTCAGTTCGGTAATCCGCGAGAAAGGGCGTCGCCCTTGGTGTGCTCGTCTTACATGGCGTAACGCAGAAACCGATCCGCGCCGATACGCGGGCATGCCGAGAGCGGCACGCAGTAGAAAACGCAACCAAGTACGTCGAACGAGCGCCGCGTCGTTGCTCCGCGCCGCGTCGAGGCGTTTCACGCGCATTTTTAGTCGGTCAATGACTCTGAAGTTGTATTAAACACCGGCTACGCCGTAATTGAAATTACGTAGTACTGCAGCACTGGAAACGCCCGGCTGGCTCCGCTGGCTACGCGTGCGGTTTCCTTCGTTACCCAGAAGTATGTATATCGCGAAACCACGATAAACAGAATATACGATATATAATGGTATAATATCGTGTATCCAATCATACACAATAGCGTCATCTCAATTACCAATCTCAATTGCAGTCCAATCGACGCGTTACTCAAAGGTAAACGTCCCAATGACCGGACGTGTACTCGTATGTATACGAGTATATTATATGTGCGGACACTTTTACACATAATTTATTATTATTAATATCAAATACTTTTTTCATTACAATATTATAATTTATTACAATTAAATTATATAATATTATATCTAAAAAAACATTTCAGATTAATAATAATAAATTTTGTGTAAAAAAAAAGTGCGTGACCGGACATAGATATACATGTCCGGTCACTGAGACGTTTACCTTAGTTGCAAGCGCGTGATTCATTTATTACTTCCTACAATTCATTTATTACTTTGTTACAACTTAATTGCAAGTAAGTAATAATCACACAACTCGAGTAAGCGAGAAATGAATAACGCAGGCCTGCGAAAATAAGACTTTGGAAAGTTCAATGAGATATAAGAATGATTTCCGCCGTAATTTTTCCCGCTGTATCCAAATTTGTCTAGCACGTAAAGATTTTAAGATATTCTAACTCTTAAAAAGTGCAAAAAAGCGTTTTTTTTTTAATTTTTCAGATTACAATGACTTTAAAACATGAGGATATCTGTTGATCCGTCATTTTACACTTAAAAATTCTGACTCTAAATTCATAATCAGTGACCCAAAAAACCCTTTAATACAAAGTGTAAAAAAAATTGACCTTATAAAGCGTCCGATACGCTTATATAGGACTAAAAAATATAGAATCTGTTAAAATACTATTTATTCTTGCAGTTATAAATATATTTAACACCTTTTCGGAAAACTTGCACTTCTATGGATTTTTTCATGAAGAATCCAAATCAACGGATATTCTCACGTTTTAAAATTATCGTAATCTGAAAAATTAAAAAAAGTGCTTTTTTGAACTTTTAGGTTAGAATATTTCAAGATCCTGATTAAATAAATTTTGTGACCAGATTCCGATGCAAAAAAATTACGTCGATAAATCACTCTTACATGCATCTGAATGGACCAAACATCGCAGGTTTATGTAATTATAGATTTTTACTATGATAGTCGCAATCGTCAATAATTTTAGTGATGACCCTGATCGCTTATCAATCAGCGACTCCCATCGTATCTTTAAATTGCAAACTAATTTAAAGACACATGGGAATTTATTGCAATTGATCGGATCCAAAATGATTTAAGCACGGGCGTGAAGAAAAGAGAAAAAACGAATATGTGTATAAATATAGTCGAGGGAAGGAAGGAGGGCACGATCGTTCCGGTTTACACCTCGATCTACTTAGAAACGGCATGTCTCAGGATTCTCAAGCAGCTTCAAGGCTGTCGCGTCCTTCGCGATCATTGCACGCTCGACATATTACCACACGAAGAGGAGCCCCACGCTTGGCCAATGGAGAAAGGCGACGTATGGCGAAACAGTGTGTGTGTATATTGTATATTACACGGCGCATCCGGGGAATTGTACTGAGGATGCACCGAGCGCACATTTAACCTGTCAGTTGGAAAAGGTTGGGTATGCTAGCTCCAGCTTGTTCCGCAACTCGTCCTAATTCAAACCATTGTGATTCGCATTATTTTATGTACACATGTTCAAGAGTAGAGAACTCGATGCGAATTGGCTTTAAATCAAAATGAAGAGATAGAAGCTTCAACTGTTTAAAGTTGTAGTTTTAAAAAAGGAAAAATTAAGTGTGTTTCCAAGCATGGTGGAAGAGCAATCATGTTTCGAAAAGCAATCCGAATATCGAATGTCATTCCGAAGGTCGACGTTTATTAAATTATCTGATTGCATAAAATTTTGCATAAAATTTGTACAAGTATATTTACAAAAATCGATCAAAATGCAAAACTCTGCAGATCTTTTCTAAAATATTGATTACTGTTTACTCAATTAATTTCGACGTGGAATTATTTTCAAATGCTCGACAAACATTTCTGAAAAACTGATTTATACGCATATAAATTAGTTAGGTTTTTCAGAAATGTTTGTCGAGCATTTAAAAATAATCGAGATAGCGTGTCCTAATTTCTTCCTTCAATATACGCTGGCGTTTTATTCTTATATTTTTTGAAAAAAGTAAAATATTTACACCTCAAATCGAATTTGTCTACTTTTTGACAAATATTATTTACCTAAAAATTTTGTCCTGACAAAATTGTGTTGCGTTATGACGATTATGATAATCATTTTAGCGCAATTATTATAAAATTGTTGTCATTTTATCCTATTATTGTGAAACGTTTTGACAATTTGTTTATCAGGATACGCGCTTGAATAAGCTCAAACGTATCATGCAACTTTATATAATTTATTATTATATAATTTTTAATAATCTATCATATTTTTTAATCCTTTCGATATTAACGACGACTATAGTGTACTGCAGAGTTGAACACTTTCCGTGTACTAATGACGATTGTATAGTTTAACAATTTTTCAAGTGTTATTACTTTGAAACGTGTTAAAGTATGATCCCTTTCCACCAATACTTAACAATTTACATTACATAGTACGTAAAATTTAACTGCTGTACTTGTTCTCTGGTGAAGTGACGTTCATATACATAGTTGTCCGTATATAGCGGTGGTATAATTAAGGCGAAAAATTAAGTTGTATCAAAAAGATTAATAAATATTTGATCTGAAAACAAGTTGTCTTAGACTTTGTTACAGTAGTTTGAAAATAAAATATATGCACGTATGATTTCTGTGAAAAAAATATATTTCTATGTACATTCTTAATATTTCGACGATTGGGGACACCATTAATTCACATAATAAATCGACTTCTTTCGAATATTATATTAATTTATATATATATAATTTTTACATACCTATATTAAACTGTCAAATGTCGTATATAAGGACCGCCCTGAAGACATTTAGAAAATGTTTCAAATGTACGTCGACTCATCTTTTTGAATATTTTCCTTTGACTTATTTGGGAGACGTTTAATCTTATGGATAACTTTCAAATTTCGCAAATGTTCTTATATTCGTTTTCACCAATATAGAGATTAACTCTAATCTCGGTTCAATTTATTCTTCTTAACTTGGTATTTTTTATAATTTTTAGAATGAGAAAAAGACGAAGAGTAGGTAATTAGTTGTGAACCAAGATTGATATTGAAAATGCTCCGATAGTTTAAAGCGGCGCGGTGTATTATATTACGTAAATACCTGTAGCTTTATGTCTGGAAGTATCAACATCGTTTGTGCGTCCGTTCGCCAGGGCGAACCGCGGGAATTCGAGTTCGCTTTTCGATCCGTGTCCTCCGCGTGTGTCTTCTTAAGATGAGAGTAAGACACGACCGCCTGTTTGGCGGAATTCTTTGGAACCGCTATAGTTCCCGTGGAGTGCTCGCGGTCGCGTCGTTCACACGGTCGACCGGAAACGCGCGGAGTGCGAGAAATGGACTTCTCTCAACCGAGAATCTCCCGATATTTCAGTGATTCACAATCTATCGTTCTCGTGGAGGACAAAAATCGCGCACTGTGCAGTCTTCTCTACGTCTACGCGATGAAAGGCGCAAGCAATGTCGTGTTGTGTGCGTCTCGCTGAGCAGAAGAAAGCGCGGTGGTGCGTTTCTTCACGTAGCGTCCGGAGAAATATTGGAGAACTCTGCAGTTTCTGGTTCTCTCCGCGCGGTCAACACTTTGGTGAACGGAAGGACGAGATTGGGGAAATTTCGAGATTGTCAGATGACGTTTGATCAGCGGGCGAGTTTCGGAGCACGAAGTGGAGTTCGACGCGATCGATGCGATGGCGTACGCGACTTCCCGACTTCGGTAGTTCGGTGTAGACGACGATCCATCAACGGCAACCAGCTTAACCAGCTAGAGCTCGCCGCTCGGCTGGAATCGGCCGCGATCGGTGTAGCTCGGCGAAAGGGAAAAAGAAAGGATGATGAGCAGGGACTACGATGAGTAGGGATGGGCCTGCTGTAGTGCTGTCGTGCTGTCGTGCCCGCGCTACAAGAGAAAGGAGAGGGTGGAAGGAGACAACATTGCGCGTTTCGCTGTCACTGTGATAACTGAGAAATTCCTCAACGGAAATTTCAAACATGCTTTGACGTCATTCGAGGAAAATGAGACTGGTATCGTAACGCGATATTATAGCGAAAGTATAAATAATTAAGTTTAGATTATTGAGAGTGATTTCTAAACATCAAATTCCTAACAGCTTTCAATTATAACGTCTCTCTGCGATACCAAGAAGCAATGTTTCCTATTTTGTAGGAAAATATGTATGATAGGAATGATGTTAATTTTGATTATCACCAATTTTTTTTTGTCGCGTCGTTAATCAGAAACTCATGATACAAGACAGGTACACTTACTTGCAGTATTAACGTTATCGCGATTGCAAATGTCATGCGAACGTGAACTATCCCTGAAATTGCAATGAGGTCAAATATTTCTAGACACATGTAATCGTATTGAAAACAATGAAAACTATTTAGACCTAAAAAAAAAAATCTTTAAAAAAGAATAAAATATACGCCAGGTGTCCATAAAAAAGATATCGAAAATTACATTCTTTTAAAAAAAAGAACGGATAGGAAATAAATGCAATTAGCCAAATAATATAACCTTTTTATTAATTCGCATTGCAGATAATTTCCCTCCTATGAAGACATATTAGCCCTAGAATATCGCGTTTTAACGCAACCAAGTTTCTTTCTTTACTATAATCCAGTTGACTATTATAATCACTTTCTATCCTATGTGTCTTGCGTAATGAAATACTTGGCTAATTGCATTTATTTTGTATCCGATTTTTTATTAAAAATAATGTAATATTCGATACCTTTTTTATGCACATACATGGCGTACATTTTTTCTTTTTTAAAGAGATTATTTTTTAGGGATTTCTCACTGCTTTTTTTGTAAATTTTTGAAAATATAACATCGTCGTCGTCGTTGTCGTTGTCGTTGTGTGAACTCATAGGACCTTTTTTATAGAGAATTTCCTATAATCTATACAAATATCATAATAACTATATTCTTGTAGAACCAATAGATTTTGAGATATTCGTGAAAAACTGCTTTTTACCAATGATCCTCTATAAAATTTTAAGCAAGAGTCACATCGATGATCGGGGACTTTTGAGATATTGTTTAGATATAAAGGTTCATGCAAAAATTTAGCCAACAGCTAATTTTTCCTCAGATTTGTCATATCTTTGTCTAGTTTCCATGGACTGCATCTCGTGTATTAGTTCGACCGTTGCGATTGAGTTGAAAAGAGCGACAGATGGTTGCAAGAACTTTTCTTCTTTGAGGTAGCATCTTAGAAGCATTTGCACTTCGACATTCCAAGCTGACTAGACTAGATGGCCACTCTGTACACTTCAAGCCAGAATAGCTTGAAAATCCAGCAAAATCCGTTTGTTAAAATTAATTATATGATGTGAAAAATTTGTGTAATTTCAATTTGATATATCTAATTATACATACTTTCCATTTAACATCTCTCTCCCCTCCTTCCCTTCCCCCACTTCGGTTTCATACTACCATTTAAATCAAGTTTTACGTAAAACTCTGCGTGCCGCTTTAATGATATATTATAGGTAACTACTGATTAGATCATTCTTTGTGTGTACAATAAACCCATTACGATGATGAATTACGATCTTACGAGTAATAAATGAACTTTTCTGTTAAATTTCGTTTCATTTCGGGGTTGGGTTTCCAATTACAACCCATCTTTTCGATCTACGTGAAAATTATTATGTGAGGTTTGATAATTGGGGATTACAATAAAACAAAACTCAGAATGCAGAATCTTTATGTTGCAAATCGAAAGCCGTTAGATGATATGGAAAATCAACGTTGCCACTTTGAGATAGGCACTGAGAGGAAGGCGCTCGCGATGATTAGTTTATCGGGATAGATGAGCATGGAACTGGGGACTTTTCCGCTATCGGTTAATAGAATACGACCTTTTCGAATATTCTTCCGGACCGTACCGGAAAAATTTCCGCGTTGAGGAAAAAGACACCGTGCACTTGCCGCTCCAGGGAATACATACGCGGTCAAGCGGTATATTTACGTAACCGATTGCGAAAGAACTAATCGTTTTTTACTTGTCGCACCTGATAAAACGCGTAAAACGCGTATTCTGGCATAAAAATGGAATGCGCCCTAAGCGATTCGCGTGACGCAAAAATATCGCGTTCTCAGTGATTTCGCAATGTGAGACTGATATTTGCGATTTACGGTACGTTACGTGATTGCTTTTTCATATTGGCAGGTTAGCGTTATGATTAGAAGCGATGCATACAAACAAGCGCATCCGTTCGATTTCATTCTATGTGAGGCGCGTCTATGACCGGTATTCATATATAGTCGGTTCTTATTTTAAGAACCTCTTAAGTATCAATGTCTTAGGATGCTAATACGACTTTCTGATTGGCTCATGACATCTTAAGGCTGTAACACATACCTAAAACAGCCTCAAATATAACAATCGATTATTGAATATCGGCCTATAAGCATTGATTTACTGTAAATGGTCAGGTCTTCACTATGATGACTGCTAACGAAGAAACTACTTATGGAAGGATTATGTCTCTACAAAGTTAATTTCAATACTTTTCGATAGAATTGTTGAAATGTAGCTACAAAATTTCGAAGAAATATGGTATTAATTTCTTTGCATTGTTAACATATTTTTCGAATTACCTGTAAAAATTGTTATGTGATAGTCATAATATCACTCATTTGTTGCAACAATTCAGTAAACAAAATTTTTCAGAAAATAAATTTTAATGTTTGGAATTAAAATTTTGAAATATTAATGCTGAAATTTGATTTTAGTGTATCAAAATAACCGATTACAGAGGATGATTAAAAGTATGTTCTTTCGAAGTATCTCTCTTTTTCCTATGTTTCTATTCTTTTTCTACAATTAATTCAGAAAGGATGATTTTTAGTTATATGTATGTCGTTGTTGTAACAAGTGAGCGATATAATGATATGTTCACCCGTGCGTTTTGTTACCCAATTCAATATTACGCGAGCAAGCCTTTTTTCGAAAGAACGCAAATAAATTTATTCGAGAGAGAGAGAGAGAGAAGATAATAAATAAAATTAAATATTTCATATTTTACAAAGATGTTATCTTTTTCATTAAGGATGTATGTGTCACATCTAAAAATAATATTAAAAATATAAAAATTTCATAGATTGTTCTATTATTACGTCTCTCATGAATATTTGTATATTTGAGCACAATTCTCTAATTGGTTTAACAATTATTTAATTTTCTTTGTTTATTTTGATTCTTATACGCGTAAAAAATCGCATTTCATAATATTTATTTATAAATTTGATGAGAAAGTACAACATTAAGAATTAAATCAAATTTTATACACATATACCTATTGATCAAAAAAATAATAAATATCCATGCAAATATTTATTTGGGTCCACTTACATATTTAAAAGTTATTGACTAACTAGAAAAATATAGGCACATTTTGTTGCAAAAAATCATAATAAATAAAATTATTTGCTTTTGCAGTTGGTCAGGGGGATTGTATTTACGGGTTAATATCATCAAAATTTTTTTAATGATATTGGCTTATATACTTTTAGGTAATATTGTACAGCCAAAACATTCTTAATTAACTCTGTTAAGTGTAGAATGAAAAATTTCCAACGATTTTTACTGCTTTGACTGCTTGCAGGATGTGAAATTAGTCTATTGTCGACGAGAGAGGTGTCCTATTTTCGAGATCCCTAAGTATGCGATAAAATTAGGGACCGTGGCAAGGTATCCCTAATTTAACGAGCGGCCATGACGTGACTTGTTTCGCATTTAGAGGCACGAAGATGCGCCGCGTGTCGCCGACATGCGCGATTACGCACGGTGCGACGTGACTCACATAAGTTTGTACGGCGCTCACCAAGGAATAGGAAAACGCAAGGAAGCAACGTCTCCGCCGTTCGGGAGTACCGGAAGGCAGGTATGGGCAGCTACCTGCTACCAGTGCTACACTGCTACCGCCTGACAGCTGCGCCGCCGCGCCGCGCCGCGCCGCGCCATGCCAGCGTGACTCACGCGAGCGTCGCGTCGCGAGCACGTTGCGTCGCCTGCATACGCTATTAAAGCACTCGATCGAATGTCGCTTCGTTTTTCTATTGTATGCGTAGAGTGTACCGTGCTACCTTGCAGATGAAACCGATGCGAATTTCAGAATCAACGGCTGCATTCAGCAGAAAAAGCACCTTTGCAAATATTCTTTGTAAGATTCTTCAATAGGATTCGTTTATATTTTTATACATTTAGGCGATTAGATTCAAAGAGGAATTAAAGGCAAGAATTAATCTATTAAAAAATTTTACAATAAAGCTATTTATAATACAATTAATTTAATAATAATATAAAGCTGCTTTTTCTGTTGAATGCAGCCAGAGACGGATCCACGATGGGGGCCATGTCCACGACCCCCTCACCTCAAAAAAATTTTCACTTGTGACGCGTAAATTAAAACATAAGGACGGAAAGGCATGGAAACTGGAAATTTCCCTTTTTTGTCATTGTTGGCACATGATGTTGGAAAAACTTGATTGGTAATCCAATAGCATATAAATCCGCCAATGGCTCCAACCTTGAAAAGTTTCTGGATCCATCCCTGAATGCAGCCAATGGCTGCGTTTTTTAGCAGCAAAAGCAACATGTAATTCTTGAGAGTACGATTGGTTTATACATTCAGATCCAGTGAGAAACTAAGGACAAGATCAATCGTATTAAAGAATTTTGCAAAGCTACTTTTTCTGCTGAACG